GAACATATGGGAGAATGAAGAGAAAACATATAACACCAGTGCAAAGTGGCTGCAGGACCTGAGAGCAGACCACAGCAATCTCCCAGGACAGGAACTAGTCACCATCACAGTTGTGGACATCCAACAGCTGGTCAAGAACATGAAGAGCTTGACAGCACCTGGGTGGGACATGATCCACACCCACTGACTAAAGAAACTAACAGCAGTGCATAAACGCCTAGCAGCACAGATGAATCAGACACTAGCAGCAGGCTCCCACCCAGACTAGAATGACAGTGCTGATCATGAAACAGCTCCACAGGGGAACAGCACAGTCCAACTAGGGGTGAGAAGTTTGTTTGTTTTTGTTTTTTAAAGTAGTTCCCCTGGGCAGGGACTACTAAGTGAATTATGATGAACAGCAATGGCAAAATCTGAACTGAAGTTTTCCAATTTTAACCCAGACTTTCAGGCCTTATGCTATATCAATTCCTAAAAGGATGAACCACATTTCACTTGGAAAGATATTATTCTATTTCTAATTAGAGAACCATTGCAAAAACGTACCTTTTCAAATGTCTAAAATATGTCTAAAATATATTTCTGTGTTTTTCTATATATAATATATATTCAGAGAAATATGTAAATCTAATCCTCTAATAATCACAAGGAATTGTTCTGCAAAGTAAATGTGACAGATGGCAGTCAGCTGTATAGTACATGATGTTTATCAATTTATTAATCAGTAAAACCAATCTGCCGCAGCCTCTCTCCACTACAATACTTCAGCAACTAGATTTTAGAGAGAGGGAATTTAAAACCAATTATCCATTATAAGAGAATATATGTAGCTCAGGATTGAACTGTGGAGTCCTTGGTGCTCTCTGACTTGGTTGTTTGCTTGCAGACATTTCATTACCAGACTAGGTAACATCATCCATGCTAGTGAGTGTGTGGTTTGCTCTTTGTTTATATAAAGCAGCTTGCCCTGCCAGTGTTGGTGGAGGTACGGTTTTCTCCTTGGTAGTTCCTTGATTACAGTATTGTTTTCTGCTTGATTGTTTGTCTGGTGTTGATCTCTGCTTATCTGGGTGTAGGCTGCTGGAGAGAATGTATTCTGGTCTTTTTTTTTTCCTTCTTAGTTTTTTTATTGTCTCTTTTGAATGGTGTATAAATGTGGTTTATCTCTATGTGTCTATTGATAGCTGATTTGTCTGAATGTCAAGCTTCAGGAAGGGTGTGCAGGGGTGTGGTGCGGGTTGGAAGGGTGTGTGCAGGGATGCAGCATGGGTTGGGAAGGGTGAGCAGAGGTATGCGAGAGACATTGTGTAGGTTGGGCAGGGTGCGTGAGGATGTGGTGTGGTTCAGGGATGTGCATGGGGGTGTGTGGGAGGGAGGGAGGAAGGAAGGAAGGAAAGATGGTTTCCAACACTCCCTGCCAGCTTCCACAAGGACAGTCAATGGGGAAACTAGCAGGAAGTCACTCCCACTCCCACTGCTTTTTTGCCCACTCGTGGTCATTCTGTTTCTCTGTTTAGTTAAGGAAATATCTCTAAATGATGACCCAACAGATCACGGGCTGTCTAGTTCTTGTACAAAGCTGTGAGGCTGCTGCAGGCTGGTTCAAATGTAATGTGTTATGCAAATAAGTCTAGAGTGAAAGTGAATCTTGCTTTATCTGTTATTTATAGTATTAGCAGGTCAGCCGAACAGCCCCAAATTCACCTCTATGATGCTAATTTTGTTTCATCTTTGGGTTATGATTTAAACAGGCTTATCTTCCTGTTTCACATAGCACAAAACACAAAGAAGAGTAAATAGAGTTAGGACCAGGCATCATTACAAAGATAGTGCTTCCCATTGCCACTACTAGCAGTTCTACAGAGGACTGGTAGTGAGGACAAGATTCAGGGTCAGACCTGTGGGTTTCTTCTCTCCTCCTCATCCTGCATGGCTGGGAGAATAATTCAGGCTATTTTTATAGATTAAAGGCAACAGAATGTAAAATTCATTGTAAACTCGTATGAACATAATTCTATCCCAGGATTTTTCTTTTTTTAATCAAATGTATTAAGTTCTGCTGAAGTCCTTAACCCAGTTAGTTACCTAGGAATTGCAGAAAGGAGTGCAAAAGTCTTAAGCTTCATTCAGCCATGCACTAACCAATTCATGTAGCCAGAATAATTCTCCATGCAGCAGCTCAGAAGCTCAGCCAAACTATCAGAAACTAGAATAATCTGTGGATTTTAGGCCAACCATCCTGGCACAAAAAAGCTCTTCTATCCAGCATTGCTTGGAAAACTAATTTCAACCTTTCCCAGCCTTTCAGGCGTGCTAGACTGCTATCCTTATCATTCCTAGCCAGCATGGTTTTCAGCTACAGTGATGGGGATTGTTGTCCAACACATCTAGAAAGCACCAGTTAAGGAAGGTTCAAAATAGTCCAGAGTACACCTACCTAATTTTATGGGGCTGTCACCATTCTAGGTAATTGTGAAAGCATCTCCAATAAAAGAAAAAAAAAAAAACCCTAACTATAAACTGAAATAACAGAAACAAAGCAAAACATTGGGGACATTTTGCTTTATTTATGTAATCCAAAAAATATATAATGAAAAGCACTCCTTCCTCATCTTTCTCCTAGATCATGTATAGTACTCTTGCCCTATGATCCTTCACTATATGTAGCTAGTTTTGTTCATAAATTGTTCATTCAGTCTGGATTACTTCACTCCAGTGTTTCTCAACCTTGACAGCTTTAAGATGGGTGGACTTCATGCTGGCTGGGGAATTGACAGCTTTAAGATGGATGGACTTGACAGTTGGGTAGAGTTAACATGGGTGGACTTGACAACCCATGCTGGTTGGGGAACTGACAGCTTTAAAATGGGTGGACTTCATGCTGGCTGGGGAATTCTGGGAGATGAAGTCCACCTATCTTACAGCTGCCAAGGTTGAGAAACACTGCTTTACTCATTCAGACACAAGATTCATTCATGTCAATGAGTTTTAATTTCAGAGAAAAACATATAGGATTGTTACCCAAATAAAAGTTTGGCTTTCAAATAATTAAGGGAAAATTAGGCATATCCAAGTAACAATGTCATAGATAAAAGATACACACACATGTATGTATAATTAAGCATTCAACTCTTTCTAGGAGCCTTCCCCAATCTAGTGCAGTTGACTTTATTTATTTATTTATTTATTTATTTATTTATTTATTTATTGAATTTTTTGATTGACTTTGACTTCAACTCCATCACCCCAGAAGAGTAGTTGGTAAGGAACCACGGTTGGGAAAGAATGACTTAGTAACTTGGAATATTTATCTACAATCTAGCATAAGGTTTCTGCAACTGGCAGGGGTTTTCCCTGGAC